GAATATATATACTTTATAGGGTCGGAAATGTCTCCTTCACTGCGTTGCAAACTTTTGACTGAAATTATAATACCCTCTGCAAGGGTATAAAAAGTCGCATATGAATTAATGATCATTTTTTATATTTTTACAAATCTTTTTAAGCCGGACAGAAATAATTTTAAATTACAAAATCCTTTTTTTACATTTAATATTATTATTATAGCGTTAAGACTCGAACTCGGTTTTAATATCACACAAAACTATTCACATGTTCCAGACATCTTTAACCGAATTGATATGGACTTTCGGTTTGAATTTGTTTTTAAAAGGGATTTCTGAAACACCACGGATCAAAACGATATGAATATACAATATTAATACATTTAAGTCTGTGATGATCTCCGCAGGTTCGGCATTTACCCATTGAATTTCGAAATTACAAAATATATAGTAGCTAACTTTAAGAAACCCTGTTTGGGAATTTTAAGCCGCTACAGATATCAGGCTTAATTTTTTTACTGTGTAATCCGTCCCATCCTACCCGATCCCCAAACATCCCAAATCGAAATGGAAATCGCAGCATGGCAACGCACAGGACGCACACACAAAAATGCGTCGCAGTTGCCTCAGGGGTGGGTGGTGGCTTTCCTTGCCGTTAACCCCTACCCGTGCCCTCGTCCATTGTGCGGTGCAGGGGAGGCAACTTGGCAGCGCGACTAGGCTAGAGCTAGAGCTAGAGCCCAGACCCAGACCCAGACCCATACGCATACGCATACCCAGAACCAGCCGGCTGTAAACATTCCTGGCAGACGCTGGAACGCATCTCAACCACAGCGAACGGTGGTGGCAAACAAATTGAGGGGCTTAACAGCCTCTCGATATGTTCGGAAATTTTAGTGTTCCTTCAACACATTAACTAATTTTTCCAGAGCTTTTGTTTCACACTTTTGAAGCTATCTGGATGATACCTATTCATGCCCATTGAAAATAATGTATGAATCGGAAAGGCTGGAATCGGATAATAAAATAAAAAAAATTAAAAACGTCTTTATTTAAATATACATATAAATCAAAAATACATATCAATAAAAGACTTAGGACTTTAGCAAGCATTTTATTATAAATAAAAAAAAAAATTCCAAGTTAATATTTTTATAAGTATTGTATTGTTGAATCTTTATTCTGGCAGATATGTTAAAGCAGTAAGCTTTGTAAAACCTTTAATAAAAACATATAGTCAAACTTCAATAACTAGAACATTTACAACTCAAAGACCAAAATGTTTAATTGGCAATAGAAAATCACTCAATGTCACCGTGACTCCAATTTTATTTCTTATCAGATAGTGGCTCTAGTTATATAAGTTCAACTGTATATTCATATTGTCCTTGTTTTTCCTTCTCGGTAATGAGCTTAAATTTGAAGTTCGACGAAGAGTGGCATTAAGAGTTGCAAAAAGATCAGACTTGGTAGCCCCCTCATTTCTTAGTTTGCACCCATTGCCCCTGTCCAAAGGCGTAGGGCCACATCCTCGACCTTGTCCTTGTCCCGTATTTTGGGGTTGAAAAACTACGCAAGTTTCGCTCGAAAATTCGGAAACGGGACGCAACCAGTTTGTGTGTGTGCTCCTGCGGTGGTATGGGTGTTTCAGTGTTTCGGTGTGTGAGTGTGGGCTGAGTTGGGTTGGTAACAGTCGGATAGGATATATAGGTATATACGTATGTTGGTTTGTTGTTGCTCCGGGGTGCGCACCGGATTTAGCCGAACGGGGAAGCAGCGACAATAAGGAACGGGAAAATGTAGGAGAGCAGGAAGTAGAAATGTCGATGCCAGGCAAGGTCAGCGATAGAGGGAAACGGCAGGAGAGAGGGACGGGGATGGAGTCCTAGATCAAAAGACGATTGCAGGATGATGAGTTTTGCTTACCCAATATCTTTATCAGCTACTTGGCACCTAATTTCCCCTTCGAAAGCATCTTTTCTGCCTCGACTCAATCTTCGAATCTAGTTGGAAAACATTGTGGCCCTACTTTTTCGAATTTTCATTTCAAATTGGTCTACATGTCCAACTCTATAGATAATAATTTATAGAACTCGCACTTCTCAGTGACTTTAACTGTTTTAATAATATAGTTATTATATTTACCTGACCAAAATCTCAAGCTGTGACAGAATTGGAATCGAGAACACCACTTGCTTACTTTATGGAGACTGACTATAGGAAAAATGTAATATCCAAAACTAAAATCGCTCTTGTGTCTGTTATATTTATCTAATTAATATGAAATTTGGTATGTGGGTAATGGGCAACAAAGCAAATATGCTTTACGCCTAAAACATATGTATATGTATCTTTAACTATCTAATTTAAAAAATCATTGCACTCTTTCTGGCGTTTAGCCGTGGGGCTTATAAGTAAAAATGCGTAACAGAGCGGTGAGTATGGGTAACTCATTGGCATGGCACTCGACTTTAGAGGCTCTTTTGGTTTTAAATTAAATTAGTACCTATGGCATGTTTATTTTCAGATGCAAACAACTTGTTTCAAGGGGCATCCGTAGGTGGAATAGAATCCACAATTGCCCGAGACTCTTTTTTCCTTTTCGTGTTTTCCTCATATCTCACTATTTAAGTCTGGCCTTTGCAAAGCAGCTGTGGCAGTTTGAATTTTCCTGACATTTTCACGAGCCAGCAGACAAAACAGACAGTGCGAGAGGTGAAGAAGGAAAAGAAGGAGAGCTGAGCGGAAAAGCAGAAAAGCAGAAAAGAGGAGAGAGGGGAGAGAGAGAGAAGAGGGAGAGGGAAAACGCCAGCGTCGCCGCTTGGGCCACCCTTGTTTTCAGAGTTTTTCCCCGAGTTTTCCGCTTGGTACAATGAATTTTCGCTTTTCACATTTCACACTCACCCCCGTGACAGCTGCGTCGACGTCGACGTTGACGTCGCTGTCAGCAGCAGCAAGCCGGGCCAAACCAATCAGATGGAAAATATTCGTTTATCCGTTGCGTTTTTGGATGTTTTTCCTTTCGGTCGGGAAACCTTCTGAAACAGCAGTGCAAGGTACAGGTCAAACAGCTGGCACAGTGATCACCAGAAGCACTTTGCTTAAATCCCAGGCTTAAATCTCGATGTATTCTTAATTCTACAAAATAGAAAAAAATGTAAGTCCCGTTTGATACCTTCTCATAAAAGTTAAGCTTTAATTTAAATATGCGAATAATTTGGCTATAATTCAAAAATATAAAACGCTGGAAAACTAAACTAAATTAAACTATATACTTTAACCCAATAAATATTTTTAATTTATATCTTAACATCTAATTTTAATTTGTATCTTTATGTTTCAGGTATCTGCAGTAAATTGATCACTGAATCATATCATTTGATTGTTTTTTATTGACAATCAGCTAAATTTGCGTTATACAGGAGTCGGCGTCGCCAACCGGTCGGTTTTAGCCCACTCTTTACTACATTGCTTTTATTTTGGTAAAAATTAAAACTGTTTTCCTTATGGGACGTCAAATAGGCGAAGTTCAATTGGGGTTAAGATCATTATTCTGTGTTCGCTGATTATTGGAAGTGGGTGTGGTGTAAGCCGGTTGCTGCTCTTTAAAGCGAATAGACGCTCACACGTACGCAAGCACACACATACACACACAAAGAGAGAGAGACGCCAAGGAGCAGGGTCAGCCATTTTGGTTTACAACTTTCACTGCTCGGATGATGGGTGGAAAATGCGACGCCGACGCCGCTGCTACTGCGCTGCGGCAGAGGGCTGAGAGCAGAAAACAGAGAACAGAGTTTTCCTCGCATTTTCATCGGGCACCGAGCAGACACCTTGGAATTGGGATCCGTATATCCGGCAGGCAGTTCACTCGTCGCCGTTGCGTCAGTTCGTTCGACTCTCAGCTCTCAGCTCACAGTTCGCAGCTCGCAGTTCACAGTTCACAGTTAATAGCTCACGCCGCAACGTTTTCTAAATAGCTAAGTACATAGCTATCGGGATAGTTTTCGATACTGCCGCCGCCGTCGCCGCCATTTGCGATTTTTGTTGTTTTTTCTTCCATGCCCAAAAGAAAGTGACAAAAAAGGCCACAAGCAAAACAAGTGGAAAGCCAAGAAAAGGCGAAAAAAAAAGTGCAGAATTAAAGAAATAACCAAATAAAATTTGTCGAGAATTCTTTAGGTTTAATAATAAACCAAAAATGTAAGTGAAAGAGAGAGGGAGATGAAGAGAGAATAACCGAAGAGAGAGAAAGATATAGAGAGAAGTAAGAGGGGTAAAGTGTGTTTTTCCTGCCTTACTTTGTACGCACTCACGCAGCTGCTGCCGTCCCGTTCTCACACACCCTCTGCCACCCACTGTCACCCACCTACAGAGTTGTCACCTACGCAAAAATCAATAAAACAAAGCAAATAAAATAAAATCCACATCGACAGCACAAACAAGCCAACAAAATATTATTTCCGGTCGAATTCAATCAATGGAAAAATCAATTACTAACTAATAAATATATCACTTTTGGATCCTATTGGTCCTTTTAATAGGGTTTTCTTGAATTATTTAAGCCTAGATGTTTGTCATTTTCAATTAAAAAAGAAAATGGATTAGTCCAAATTAACTTTAATTGTATTCTTTTTCTTAAATGTCATTCAATCATAATATATATTTTGTTTTCTGTTTCATTTAAATTTTTAAATCTGTTAAAAGAGGCAGTATTTCTGCTTAAAAATATTAAATTGGAAAAAATACATTAGTTTTTCTAAAAGTGGAGGTCCTAATTCATCATTGCAATATCATCTAAATAAATCAACAAAGATCCTGAACCTCTAAGGCAGCAAACATCCTGTATTATGTATTAAGCGACGTTAAAAAAACAAACGAAAACTTAAATTTTAAACAATTTTCCAATTAAGGTGCCGAGATTTCAGATTCAAGATGTGGGCTTGTGGGTTTACTGCCACAATAGCCCATTTGTAGACACTCCGACCCCAGACACCATTGGCACTTCTGTCAATCCCAGCTGCCACAAGGCAATTTTCACTTTCTCACAATTCTGTTTCAATTTTTTTCTCGCTCAAAAAAAATCAAAAATTAACCCAAAATCAAAAATATACACTTACACTGACCACAACAAGACAAAATACCGAACAACAAAATAACAAACCCAAACAAAGAAAATAAAAAGAAAACAGAAAGAAAGATAAGGAGAAATCGAGCGAGGGGCACATGAACAGATCGAAATCCAATCCGATTCAATATATACTGTTCTATCTTTCATCGCTCACCCACTTTTCGGCTGGCAATTAAAATTCGTTCATAGATAAAACACCCAACAGAGTGATCAACATAATTGAGAGCAAACAGAGCCCCCAGCTTCCTTCCCTTGAGCTTAGACCCTGATCCTCGATCCCCCGAAATACCGAAATACCTAATTACCGAAGGGAAGGGACGGCAGCAGCAGCGGCTCCATCTACCAGAAAAGAAAAGACCCAGGGCTCGTACCACCCACTATAAACCTAATCGAATCAATTCAACATCCAATCCCAAAGCCTGACATTTCGAAAATCTCGTAGTAGCGAAGTCAACCGATGAAAGTCGAACCGAAAGCCGCAGAATTGGAAACCTAAACGGATCAATAGCCTGGACAGAACATAGAATTTAGGAGCATCAATAGCATCTCAATTTCAAACAGCTAAAACTGACATCCTACAAAGCAATCGATGAGCAGCAAATCAGCCAACAGATAGTCGTGTCCTATTAGATCTGTAAGTATCCTAGCTCATGTCCTGGCTAACAAATTAATTGTCCATTGACATTACGCACATGACAGAATACACAACACCATTTATACCCTAAATACGAAGCGTCAGGAATATTTCCAATAAGCTCAAATCTTTCATTTTTGTTATAATACCCCTTTGAACTGAATTATAGATGTTCCATTCTTTGTATTCTCATCAAATTACTTTAAAACACCATCTGCAATACGTAGTCCTAATTGGAAAGTGTAATTTTATGGCTGAAATGCTTACCTTGAAATATCATTGTATCCCATAAAACTAAGAATTGTTGTGCTCCTTTATAAAGATATTATAATTAGGTTAATAGGTATTTCCTAAATCAGTTTATAAGATCCAAGTAAAGCTCTATGAATCAATCCTGAGTAGTAGTTTTGATTCGGCCACATTCCCTTGAAGTCCCTAGTTTTATTGGAAAAATCCATAACTTAACTAGTAGTGGCGCAAGCGATTCCCCCAATTCCGGTGTCTGTCTTTCATTCATATTTCCGATAAGAACTGCTCTTCTTTTGGTTAACGGAGGGGAAGCACTTCTCTCCATTGCAACATTGTACGAATGACACGCCGGCCGTGGGGAATGCTCCCCAAGTGTGATGATGAGTTGGTAAGAATAAAAGCGAAAGCGATGAAGAGGCTCCTCTGTGGATGAACGGAGGTTGCGTGCTTGGCGTCTATTTCAAATGACGACAGAGCAAGATGCGCGTGGCATGAATGAAGCATCTGTCCCGCCTTTCAACCCCCTCTTCTCCTCTTCATCATTCTAATCTGGCTCGTCTGCTTCTAAATTTAATACATTCTCAAGTGAGGCAAATTCATGGAAGATGCGAATAAAATCGGATCAATTCTAAAGTTCAACAGCCACTAAAAGAGAAAGTGAAACAGTGGGATACCCAAAGAGTATGCGTGTGTGTGTGTGTGTGTGTGGGGGGGGTTGGTTTCAGGGAGGAAAATGTAGGTGGGACCAAAATTAGAAGCAGACTGACAAGGAAATAGGGCCAGGTTGGACAAATTCCTCGGCATTTTGCAGATGCTCCCTGTCAGATATCTCACCGTCTTTAGCTCCGTTTTTGGGGGGTGGTTCGTATCTGTAAGATACTTCCCAAGCGTTCTAGTTATTGGAATGCTTCATCAGAGAGATCTTCATTTACTTAATATTTGGGGGTGTTTTAGTCCTTTGGGATGCTCTACTTAATGGATTTTTAGATTCTTCGTTTGATCTTCATTTAACTCACTGCTTATTAAAATCACCATAAATATTTTGTTCGATTTGCCATGAACTATACATCTTTATTACATTTATTTGGGGACTTATCAGTTGGTTATTTGAAATACTACCTTTACCTTTGAATAAAAACCACCCCATGTTGTATTCAGGGTGCCTAGCTATACTTTCGGTTAACTCTCTTTGAATCTTTCACTTGGAAATTGTGGTATTTCTTTAGGAGTTTATTTGGTGGATCCTCAATTCGCTCTCCATATCGATTCGTACTTGAGGGCGTTTAATATCCTTCGATCTTCGTAGAGCTATCCATCTCGTTCTATTCGAGGCAACTGTACCTCAATAGCGCTCCTTTGACGCGGGTTGTCCTTGAGCCAGCTCTCTAAGAAAGCTTAGGTAGGCAGGAAGGCAGCTTTCGCAGCTGTTGCCTGTTTGCCTGGCTGCCTCTCGTCCGCCCTCCCTTGGGCAAGGCTTATCTAGTCCTTAAAGGTGTCCTGTAGCCAAACGAGCTCCTCAACCCCCTCCCCCCTCCCCCATCCCGCTTCCCAGGCATTTCGCCTTCGATTGTTTAATGTCCTGTTCGGCAGCGAGAGTGTGTGTTCGTTAGAGTCAGGATATCGCCGCGTTAACCCTAAAAATAACACGTTAGGTTGGCTTGAGAAAAAGAAACTTAAGTTCTGAAAAACCGCAACTAAACGGCGAAGCAACTTTGAATTATTTGTATCCATTGCATAATGAAATCTGCGCTCAGTTATTATAAAAATATACATATATTATTAGGCTTTTCATTCATATTTTTAGTAGATTATGCATGGGTAAAACATTTAAAAATTAATATAATATTTTTAATTAAATCTTATTTTTTGATTCTAAGGCTAAGTCTTGCGTCATTTTACTGAAGAGACAGTGGAATTCTCGTTGCTCCTTAAATTCATTTATTATTGCTTAAACTTTGCATAAGATATGGAAAAATGTATTTTTGTGGTGCCGCAAGACAACCTTTAAATTTTCTAAGCAAACTGGTTTCGCATAATTTTTGCAGATTATTTAAAAGTACAGACATTGAAAAAAATAATTATTTCTTTTGCCACTATTTCTTTCCTAAATCTTGAATCTGCTTTCACTGCCATAGGTTAATAAATGTATGATATTATCACTGCATTTTAGAAAAGATCTTACAACTAAATATATCTCACTACCAAAAAAGTTACATATCAGTTTAGTTCAAGATTAACACAAGATCCTTTTCAAGCATTTCTCACACATGGTGCATTTTGAGAGCCACTGAGCATCTGAGCATCCACTGAATCCTGCAGCACACGAACCCCTTTCGGTATGCATTGGCGGCCCGGTTCGTGTGCATTTCAATCACAATTGACTGCGTTCGCCATTGCAGTCGGCAAATTGTAATCAACCACTGAGCCACTGAACCACCGGCACCACCGCCGGTGGTGACCCCAACCACCCACAAGTGTCTAAGTGAACGGACAAACGGACAAACGGACGCAGGCACATAGCTCTCGACGATTCAATTCGCAGTGCCATGACGAGGGTCCTTATACCCTCTCTTTCACTCGTTAGCCAAAGTGGGTGTGGGTGGGGGGTGGATGGATGTGGGTTGGTAGTGGGTGGCCAGGCCTGGTGTTGCATACTTTCGAGGGGTTGCTGTTGCACTTTCCTGCGCGCGCGCCACTTTCTGCTTTCAAAAAAAGGAAACAGAAAATGTGCAACTGCAACAGGCGTTCGCCATTTGTCGCCGGTGAAAAAACCGAAGGGGCGGAGGGGGCGGAGGTCAAGCCCGCCCACCCGAGGGCTTTTAACCTTTGGCAGGATGATGTTGCAACCGCAGGACTCGCCACCCCTCGAGCATGGCTTGTGGTGGTGGTTGTTTCGAGACCCTTGCCGCCGCTGCACTTTTGTTGCAAATCGCTGGCGAGGACAAAAAGCTTTACAAGCCTCGCCACCTCTAATTGGCTTGTCGCGGCAACAAGGAGGCAGGGATTGAAGCGGCAGGCGGCAATCGGCAATCGGCAAGGGTAGAACTAATTTAAACCATGTACCAGCCCCGCCGCACCCTTTCGGTCACCCATCGCTCCCTGACCGTGCAGAGATGAGGCCTATTAAACGTCAATTAATGTCACCTTTAACAACTGCAATTGCTGCATCCTGCAAGTTTTTGGTCCTTCCACCCTGGACCCTTGGCCTACCCTCTCGCCTCGGAATTCAGAATTTTGTTTTGATTGCGACGCGTGCAGGGCTTTAAGTTGGCGGGTATGGTCGCAAAGGGGGAGTGGGGTTCTTAAGGAGGGTCAGAGTGCAGTGTTGCATGCAACAAGTGGGATGACGAGAGACCCGGCGCTCTTTTATCGTCGCCATTTGAATGCATCTATAAAACAGGGAGAACGAGCTTAAAGGTGGTTGCCAGGCATGTTGCTGGAATTCAATTTGATTTCGAAGGCATTTTAACACTTAAAGTGTGATGATGATATCCTCTTAACTTTCGTTCAACAAGGTCGTGCAGAATTCAAGAAATGAAAATGAGGACGTTAGCTGAATTCAGTTCCCAACTAATTAAATTTTCGCTACGTAAAACTAGAATTTATACTTATAAAAAATGTTTCCAAATTTATAATAGCTTTTTCTCACAAAAATTTTAAATTAAGCATACTCGTACAATTCTATTATAAATTTGAAATATTTCGTATAATTATAAATATCTGAACTTCAATTAGTTGGGAGAGTGAGTAAATGCTGTCATCGTTTTGATTTTTAATCCCTATAAAAAAACTGTTCAAATTCATTTCTTATTTTCATTCCGAGAATCTCAAGAAAAAGAAGAAATTGTTTTATCTTCTTGATTTCCATTAGCTCACCTTAAGTTAGACTTCTTTTAGCCATAATTTATTTCTAAAACAATAATAAGAAAGACTTTTAAGTAATAAGGATGATGAAATGGTCCTCCTCAGCGAAAACTATTTTTAAGAACTTTGAAATACATTCGATTATAAAACGGCTGTACAATTTTAACCAGTTGTTGAAAAATATTAGATTAACAAAAAGTTCTGTATGAAACGATCGTGTTAAGTTAATTAACATAGTGGGAACTATAATTTTAAAACTTTTGATAATCTACGATACACAAGAACAATAAGCCTCCTGAATTTTAGTCAGTTTTAGTGGTGATAGTTTAGATGGAAGAAACGTAAATTAAACAAGCTGTAAGGATTGAAAGTTATATAGAGAGGGTTAATCAAAACGCTACAGTGATTACTAGAACTTCAAATCTTTTGATAATCTACGGTGTACGAAAACAATAAGGCTCCTTTCATTTTAATCAGTTCTAGTGTTTGTATAAAGTTCAATATGTTCTAGTGGTAGTGTTAATAGAGAAATTTAATAAAAGTGTGATCAGTAGTTATGTTTAGTCTGTCTTTAAAATTGAGTCCTTGCTTAGTTGGCAGCTCCTTAGTTATTGGCCTGTTCTAAACTTTTTACCAGCTAATCGCAGCTTTGGACTTGAACTTGGGGCTCAAGGACATTGTACTAACCTTGTCTGCCGCATCCAACTAGGATTCTATGTGAAACCCGATTTAAGTGTCCTTCCCCTCCTCCAACCCCCCCTCCCCCACAGCCTCCTGCTGCTCGCATTTCGTTTTTCAGTTTTTCGACTGCTTTTTGCGTTTTTTTTTCTAAGAAAAAAAGCAGCAGCTATTGTGTGTTCGCAGTTCACTTCCTTTGCCGCTTCCTTCTTCCTTTTAGGTTTTCAGTTCAGTTTTCAGTTTTCAGAGCTTAAGCGCCGCCGTCGTCACCATCGCCACACTAACACATAGGCACCTCTCTTATCCGTGTGTGTGTGGGCTTGCGTGCAAGTGTGTGTGTTGTGTATCCATGTGTGCCTCGTTTTTTGGCAACGCCGACAGCGCAGTCGACGTCAACGCCGGCAGCGAAATGTGCACAAAGAGAGAGAGTGAGGGAGAAGAGTGAAAGAGAGTCCTGAGTATTGTGCATCCCACTCGCACGCGCTTCTTTAAGTTCCCTTTTTTTGGGGGGAAGCGGTGTTTTGAGAAAATGGGAGGGGAAGGGGGGAACAACACGCGCGCGTCTTTTCTGAGCCGCTTTTTGAGTGGGTTTTTGGAGAGTGCGAGACGGGAATTTTTACATTCCCATTTCCATAGCTGGAACATCCAGTATCCAGGCGATCCATCTTCCACTCAATCTTTAATCTCAAGCAGACCCAGTTTTCACATCTTCAGCATCCTCATATGTATGTATGTATGTACAAACTAATCTCTAATACAAACCAACTTGAGCGTAAACTCCTTTAATTTCCATTAAATAACAAATGTTTGTCTTTACATCTTACTTATGTACAAGTCAAGTTTAACTAAATAGAACTCAATGTTAATAAGCTGACCCGACTAGTTTTTGAGGAATCTATAGGTATAGTTAGAATTACACAGCACATTTATTTGTAGTTTTAATAGATTTTAGCTTTCCAATTATTTTTCCTTAACCCGATATGCCCCATGACAAGGTATTTAAAGTTTTCAAATATGGCAGAATAACTGTGATATTTATTCGAACATTTTTAAGAATCGTATAATTAGATAATATTCTTCCAATAGTTGTGTTATTTCAAGTGTGATGAAAGTTATAAAAAAACTTTGTGTTTTAGATGTAAAACAACCAAAAAACAAAGTAAAAATATATACATACAAAAATATATGTACATATTTGCTTATTATTCTAAAAACGTTAGAGTTAGTAAGTCCATCTGGAATTAGGGACATCATATCTTCCAAGTCCAATTGCTTAAGATACCCATAAAAATAAATAAAAAAAATTATTTTATATCTTTAGGATAATATTTGCCTAAGTAAGTCCATCTAGGGTTAATTGTACAATATCTAGAGAACCGCTCAGGATCACAATATCGGACAGCGGAGCTTTTCAGATAACCCGAGTGAACTAAACATCCATTTTAGATTCATTCATCTGTCTCATTGCTAGCTTTAATTACCGCTTTCATCAATTTCCGCGCCACACCGAAAAACGAGAGGAGGAAAAAAATTCGACAATGTCACTCGACACTCGCCATCTCGCTCGCACTCACTCGACTTAAGCACTCGCCGAAAATTTTCGGCAATCGTCGATACGCACACCACTACACGCGGTTTCTTGGCCTTTTGCCTTTGCCTTTTGCTTTTGCCTTTGCTTCTCCTCTTGCTGCGTGCCTGTGTGAGTGTGTGTTTCGTATCTGTGTTTAGGAATTTGGGCAGCGGAGAAAAAAATGTGAATTTTTGAGTGAAACTGCTGCGCTGTCGGCGTCGCTGCCGCCGCGGGTTCTGCCTGCTGTCGCCGCTCGGTCGGCAATTCAGTGTCTGACAACGCTCCTAACTGTAAGCAACGTAGCGTCGCGACTCGGGCTGCCCCAAATATAAAGACAAAATTGTACAAAGCAAAAAAAAAGGGAAAAAATTTCCAAACGCAAAACACCAAAAAATACAAAAAAGAAGAAGCAGCAGCAACACAACAGCAGCCTTGAATCAATTTTTTCTGTGTTACACTATAGTTTGTGCCTGTCGTATTGCCTTTTTCCGTTTTGCGCGCCACGGAAACTTGGATACATGGATAACGGAAACGGATAACAGATCCGCCGTTATAAACTATCTCTGAGAAAATCCAAAAAAAAAAAACAAAGAATAAGAGGAGGGGGTGGTGAATAACGGGGACTAGTGGGGGGTTTCTGTGTGTTTTTGTTGCTGCTGCTGCTACTTTTTCGTGGCATATTTTTTGACTTTGACTTTAATTCATTTGCCTTTGCTAGTGTGTTTGTGTGTCCGTATGCGTGTGTGTGTGTGTTAGCAACAACAACAAAGAGTATTTTTTTTATTATTTTTCTTGATACATTTTGGAATCTTTTCCCGAACAAAACAAACAAGTGTTGCCAAAACAGAAATTTCCCAAATTACAAACAAACAAAATCGAAACCGCGCACCAACAACCACTTTTTTTTTGAAGGCACTCTGACATCATCTGCAAAGCTCCACTCTCCACTGCGCGAAAAAAGATACACCAAAAATTCAAAAAATAAAGAACAGCATAAATTCTTAAACATCAACAGCAGACAATAATATTCGACAGCAACAAATGAAAAGTAAGCCAAAAGCCAGAAAGAAAGAAAACAAACGACAGGCAGAAATTTCCGCAATTTTTGGGCCATGTTGCGAAATGGTTTATTTTTCTTTCGCCTACTTATTCACCACAAAAAAAATCAAAAAAATGCCAACAACAACACTCACACACACAAACACAACTCATGTACACGCGAGAGCCAAGATCAAAGTTAACATGACAAAAAAGCTCGCTCTCTCTTTTTTGGCCGCTCTCACGCATTGTCCCGCATAAATCTCTTCTACTTCTAATGCCCCCGCGCTCTTTCTTTCTCTCACTCTTTCTCTGTCAGTCTCTCTCTCGGCGGCTCTCCCACGCCGCCTTGATGACGAAAGCAAATAGCCGCAAAAAGAAAAGAAAAAGAAAGCTTTGCCGGCCGGCGATCGGAACAGCTGTTAATGTTAGCCCTTGTATGAGCGCACCCAGCCCCCAACCCCCAACCCAACCTCTTGAAATGGCCCCCAAAACTAATTGCATTTTCCCCGTCTCTTTCACAGATAACTCTTTTTTTTGGCCCAATTGACACCAAAACAAACAAAAAAAACACAAACCACAAATGTAACTTTTTTTAGAAGCCCACAAAAAGGACGAGTTTAAAACCGCAACGCACAACCAAGTTTCGAGCAAAAAAGTTTAAATTAAAACGCCCAAAAAACGTAAAAGACAAAACCCGTGAAAAATTAAAAACAAAAAGAAATGCTAACGCGACTTTAATACAAATCCACTAACAAACGCTTGCTAAACGCTTTTTTCCCGGTTCAACAGAGGTCAGCAAAAGTTTCGACTCGGCAAAAAGAAAAAATTACCAAAAAAACAAACGTGAATACAAACGTAAAATCCGTCAAGGACATGATTCAATCGAGTAATTAAGCGCGCAAAATTCAAAAAGTCATCATTCCACACGTAACACCCGAAACGTAAAAGAGTTGAAGCAGGAGTAAAAGAAGACAAGCTGAAAAAATACAAATTTATAAAAGATCAATTTCGAAAGGTCCGATTCGCGTTTTCGAAAGCCATTTTGAAATTCTAAAGTGTTCAAACAGCGATTTTTGCAAAAGTTCGGTTCAGGCAGCCAGTCATAAGCTATTTCCAACGAGATATTTATATTGACCCCGGCAATATATATATATATATATATATATATCCGATCGACTCACCTACCCCGAAGGTAAACTTCAAAAACACACGCACACTCAACCAAAAGAGCTACCGAAAATGGCATCCGAACTGGATCAATTCGCCGACCTGGAACTCTCAAAGGAGGATCGTGAACAGATCTTCGATCCGCCACTGGATCGACAGCAGTTGGAAGGTGCTGGCACCTCAAGGTACGTACTCGAATGCTACATACCCTTTAAAAGATATCGAAAACAGATCGCACAAGGCCTTTCTCTATCCAAAACCCCCCTCCGAAAACATTCCCCAACATTCCTCCATCTTTCATTGATCTTGATCTTGATGTAGCTTTTGTAGTTTGTTGTATGATGCTTTTTAGCTTTTTAGTGCGGGTTCCCAGCCACATCCACCCACCACCAACTACCCACTTAGAAATCCGATACTCTTACCCCAGTTCAGATTAGATAGTTTGGCACATACTTAGCTAGCTGGTCGAAAATGGCGCCAAATGGGTTTTTGCTACGCCCTGGCCGCGATTCGATGCGCCCCTCCAAGGTTTTTGGGTAAAAAATGAGCCTCTCTAAGTAATGGGAAACCCGGAAGGGAAGAGATAAAAAAAAAATGAGCTCAGAGCCTCGGGCGATCCTTTGAGGAAACGCAGATTCTCCGATCTGCTCTCGCTGGCAATCCACAATTGCACAAATTATCACGCCAAATAACATGAAGCTTGCCCCTCACACGGTGGCCCTCCTACTTTGCCACCCTACCCTAACACCCCCCTTTGGACATACAACGTTGCTAAATAGCAGCTAATTTCCTGTGATAAATTGGGCATATCACCGGGCGACGGGCGGGCAATGGAAAACAACAAAAAAATGGCTCTCAGGGAGGAGGACCTAAAGTTCCTGAGGATACTGAGGATCCTGAGGATCCTCGGCCCCGACCCTTGTCAAGTTCCCCCCTCGAGCCAAGCTCAAGTGGTGTAAGTAAACACTGAGCGGCCTAGAACAAGCTGGGGTAGGCGAAACCATCATCATTGTCACATAAAAAAGCCCCTGAAAGCGGTAGCCACTACCTGTCTCTCCCCTCTCGACTCTCCCCTCACACCTCGACCCAGCCCCTATTCCCCGTATTCCCCGAATGCCCCCGTATGCCCGACCCCGAGGATTTCTCGGCCAACCCCCGATCTGACAGAATTGATATACTTGCCGCACGCTGCACGAACAGGAGCAGAAAAAAGAAACAGCATCAGAAAGAGGGTAGGGTTGAGGAGGAGTTGCGGAACTTAGCACTTAGCGTCCTCCGGGCAGGATCGCTTTTTAGCGAAAGGGAGGTGCAAAAAGATCAATGAAGGCCAGGCCAGCCACTGGCAACCGAAGATCGAAGTTAGCCCAACCCGACGCAGGGAGCCAAAGATAATGTTTGTGTTGCACCTCTAAACAGATTATAATTTTTTTTGGTGTTGATGAAGGGGAATCTAAGAGCTCAAACGAGCTGTTGCTGGGAACATTGCTAGTGCAAGACCTAAACGGATTATAATATTACACAATATCAGACGATCAAATCAGGGACCGAGAACTATATAAGCTACAAAATTATTAGAGTTGTGAAAATTTGTTTATAGCCATTTTAGGAAATGGATTGGATTTTTGGAGTCAATTTATTGTAGCATACTTTTTTAGTCCGAAAAGTTCATTATATTTCTTACTAGGCTTTTAGCCCCAAATCCCACCAGTGGATCTACCACTAATCGCTGTTCATTTGACTACGTCAATGTCAGGAAGTCTTATTGAAATAATATTATTTTAATGGTCTGAAACTTTCCAAGTCTAACGCTGCTAGGTTAGACAACGTCCTTTTGCGAATAATAAAGCAATAAGCATTTAATTTTTTGTTCCACTGGACAGCAGATTGCCAGGATGCTATTCCATTAGGGTGATTTGGTTAAAACTAATGCAACGTTTTTTATATGATAATATGCCAATTTAATTCCATGTTATTTAATATTATAACACTTGAAATTTTTCAAATAATTTGAACAATGTTTAAAAATTGATGTGACATTTATCATAATGAGAGGATCTTAAATGTACTACGATTAACATGATGTCACTCAGTTACAATGTTGTTCATAAACCCACGAGTTCGCATATAAAAAAACAACAATGTAAGGTTAACTTAAGTATGCTTTTGGTTATGCGAGTGAGATAAAACAATGTTGTTTATAAGACCAGCGATTCGCCCACAAACTTGCTGGTGTGTCCTAAGACGGGGATTGGGATTCCTCGGCCAAAAATCCCCGCTGCGGCACAGCTTGTGCTTGCTGCGTGTTAAGCCGCTTGTTGCAACAACTACTAAGCCGGTAGGCAAACGCAGGCAAAAAATCTCAACTAATTTCTACAGGAATGCAAAGTAAACAGAACAGCAGCGCAGAGCGGCAAAAATACGAGATAATAAAAAGAAAAAGCCGAGGAAAAAAGCACAGAGACATAGCCAGAGACCAGAAAGAATCTCACAGAACAGCAGCAGCGGCAGCCAACGAAATCTTTTTCTGTAGCAATTGGTTTAATCCGCCAAAGGAAACATGCCGCTGCCGCAGGAGGCATCTTTTGCCAGGTTTGATTTGCTTTTCGTTGCTTTGCTTTTGCTTTGCTTTGGCTTGGTTTGGTTTGGTTTGGTTTGGTTTGGTTTGGCTTGGCTCTAATTTGGACTTGGGCTTGGGATTTTGCTTAGAAAGAAGGGTTGACCCAGAACGCCAGCGATAGAGATGAGATGAGATGAGATCTCTGGAATCTGTGTTCGTTCGTCCGTCGTTCGTTCGTGTGTGTTGGTGATCTCATGATCAGGTTTCTCAGGAGAGTTGGCGGTTGGAAATATGATTTTGGCAGAGTTTTAGGGGCTTTCCTGCCCGCTTCATTGTGTTTTTTGTATTATTTGTATTTTTTTTTTATGTTGCCCCTCGTGTTTGTTCTTTTTCTAGTCGCAAAGCAACGCAAAACACGTTTCTCATATTTCCAACTCGCTCTCTTTTCTGCTAGTGCGCGCTCAAACATTTTTAATTATACAAGAGGCGGCTTCCCTTCTTCCGCTGGCTTCTAATGTTTGTTCACTTGCGGATGGGGAGGGGCCATGAATTGAGGCTCCTTGCCAATTTGTCCTTTGCCACTTTGCTGCCTCTGCAGAGCTTCGTTCTAATCGCAACCCTTTTGCCTTCGCCATCGCCATCGCCATCTGTATCTGCATATCTGGGTATCTGGGTATCTGGGTATCTTTGCCGCCTCGCCTGCCACTTAGCCGAGGAAACGGACCTTCTGGAAGCCAGCAGCAAATTTGATTCCCATCGATTATTAACTCGCAGGGAGGCCTTCCTTCTTCGCTTGCCTGCTGATGATCCTGCTACTGCTGCTCGCCTTTTTTGATTGACAGTCAAATTAGTAGAGCTCCTTGGGCGACGGGATTTCTCATTTTGGGGGTAGATTGGATGCGATCTAGCCCAGCTAGCCGGCTAACCAGCCAACCAGCCAACCCCAGAGCAACAGCTGCTGCTCCTCAAACAACGGGGCCTGACCTTGGGTTACCGCTCCATTCATTTCGATCGCCCCCGCCTTTGTCGTCACTTCACAATGCCAGCCAAAACCGAGCCAAAACCCGATTCACATGAGCCCAGGTTGCTGTGTATATATGGCGATGATTGTGCACTGAGAAAAAAATAAATTCTACTATTATTAATGGAAAATAAGTGTATAGTTAAATTTTCCTCAAATTTAATTTGAACAAATGTAAAAGGTTAGACCATTATGCACAATAAGTACTTCCTTAAAAAACAGTAAACCCAACCCAAAAACAGTAAACGCATTTCGTAGAAAACTGGTCCATTTAGGTGTTCAAGTATTTCATTTAAAGTTGAATAATATTTTAAATTGTCAGCAGTAATTGTTCTAGACCTTGTCGAAAACACCTTAATTCGCATTATCAAAAAGTTTCGATATTGCACATAGAAAACTGGTCCATTCAGTTACCCAATTTCTAGTTATAGTTTTTAGTTTTACAATAGTTGTTTCAGAACATTTCCGATTTTTTCTTATTCGAATCATTGTTGATCAAATCGCATTATAATGAAGATTACAAAAGCATTATTTGTACCTAGATTTTCTCAGTGTGCCTGCGTTGTATAGAATCAAATGAATGAAATCAAGTACTGCGAGAATGGCGGGGGAGGTGGGTACACGTTCACTTTACCTACATTTGTCCAAAAACAAAAATATGCTCTGGCCCATATTGAGCAGCTTGTTGAGTTGAAGGTGGGTGTGCGAAGGGGCGGGGGGTTGGGGTCGGGTAAGACGTGGCCCGCCAAATTTCCGCTGCTGCTGCGAACTGCTATTGCTGCTGGAAGTTGAAGTTGTTGCACAGCGGAAGAGCAGAAGGACACCGACTTTGGCAAATCGCTCCGGACAGCAAACAGGATGCACATTTTTTATTGGTACTCCTACTCCAGGTAGTTTCTGCCAAAGTGTGCGTCGTGTGTGTGGGAGTTTCGGGCTGTTGTCAGGTACAAAACAAGAACAGTCTTGGCCTGCCCTAATTTCAAGGTGATGCTGTAACCAGGTTAAACCTGCAAGGATCCCATTCGGTTTTCATTTAAAATTAAGTTCGATTCTTCTTTGTTACCACGGGTTTTCCAATCAACCTCGATAACGTTTGTACTTAAATTCGAATTGGTGGCTTAAGTTATGTTAATGCTTAGCTTTGCCTTTGTCCCATGTATTAGCATTTGTGGAAAACTTCGATTATATTGTTATAGAATTTAGTTTTTCTTGTGAAGACATTTTAAGCTACATTGAATTCCTTTATTAATCCTTCTAACATGTTTAAAACGATTTAACTATGATTTCAGCTTAAGTAAACAATTACAAATTCTGAACTTAACTGAGATAGTGTCAAATTTTCAAGATCACACAAAAGCGAATCTCATTATCCTTAAAATACGTTCTTTTGAAAACTTAACAGCATTGCACTCCGATTAGTAAGTTATCGTTCATCGAACATCGATTATGCTGCATCTAATTTGAAACCATCTTCCTTCCTCGGTCTTCCGCCCTCCGTCTCCTTTTCACTCTCTTGCGGCAAATTCTTGCCGGCTTGTGTTTTTCTTTTTTTCCGTTTTCTACCACATTTTTGTGTGCTCCTTCTTGTGCTTGTGTTCATTAGAAAT